GTAGTAGCATGCGACTGGGAGCAGACGAAGCAGGCTGTGGCCCCTGCAGTAAGGTGCGCGGGGTCAGAGAGTCTTCCGCAGAAGCAGAGGGCAGGGGCTCCGTTCGATTCCTGGAAATTGTTTCTCCTCCGTGCGTGACTAGCGCCGTGTCATTGTGTCCTTTCGTCTGTCTTGGCGTGTCGCCGTGTCTCGGGAGGAGGAGGAGCGGGGGGCAGGGTGCAGGGCTCAGGGGGCTGTCCCTCCTTTCCTCTCCGCGCTTTAGATAGCGTGTTAGGTACCATTTACTAGCGCTTCCCGCCGAGGAGTAGCGCCGGCCCGTCACCTCGCCGGGGGTGGCTGGCGCTGGCGCGCTGGGCGGTGTGGGGGGCGGTGGAGTGGCTGGCTGGCGCGCCCGCCCCCGGCTCCGCCGCTCCGCCTGGCTCAGTTCTCCGCCAGCGCCCGCCGCGACAGGACCGCTCGCCTGACGCCGCCCGCCGTGCGCCGCCCCCGCCGTGCGCCGCGCGCCCCGTCGCGACGCCGCTCTCGTGCCGCTCTCTCGCGCCGCGCGCCCCCTCAGCCCCTCTCGACGCACTCCAGCCCAGCTGCTCGGCCCCGCACCGGTAAGGGCCACTCGCTCGTCCGGCGCGCACTCGCCGCAAGCTGTCTGCTGGTCATCAACCGACGCTTATTGTGTGCGGTGTGTGAGGGAAAACTGTTACTGCGTTAGCTATCGTATTGCACTGAAAAAACAGTTTCTCACTTTAGGAACACTTTTTATTAAATTTTTTAAGCTTGTGTTCTTGTTTTAACCTCTATTTTCTGGTTTAGAAGAGAGTGAATATTGGTTAGTATTACAGCATTTGCCTTAAAAATAATTGTGGTGTTACTAAATCGTACTAAATTGATCTTAGAAGTTTTTTTCTTTTTCGGGTTGACCCAGGCTTCCAAAAACTGATACACGTGTCAACGGCGCGATTGCAAAACTTTCGCCTTTCTTTTAAAGTGCAGAGCACGTTATGAAAACGGAAATAATTCGCTCTCTATGGGTGGGTTATTTTTTTTTCGGAGGGGGTAGACGGGGGGGACGGAGGAGTGATTTGACTAAACCGTTGGCTCCCCTCCCTCTTTGCTCTTGTATCGGACGACGGACTGGAAAAGTTTGGTCGGTTTGGGTTCGGGCCGAAAAGTTTTCGGGAGCCGACTGTTAATACTGGATAAAATCAAAGTAGTGCTTCGGGGAAGACTTTGGTAACGCGTCCCCGTGCTGGCGCGCTGGGGGAAGGAGGAGCAGGCGCAAGTTTGCTATTCAAATTCGGGCGAGGCAGGCGTGTGGCGGAGCGTGGCGGAGCGTGGCGGAGCGTGGCCACCCGAGTGCACGGCTTTTACGATAGGTAAAATGTCGCGTTCGGCCGCTCGAGTCACTGCGCTCGGAATAATGCCCGCCGGTCGGTGTGGCGCGTCGCGACCCTGCCGGTGCAGCTCGCTGCTGAGATTGTTTTGGGGGGCCAAAAGAGTCGCTTGACAAGAGGAGCTAATTATCCGACAAACAACTTCCGCTTCCGCCGCTCTCTCTTTGTTTTGAATTTTTCACTCGAATATCGGCGGGCGGGGCGCAGGATCGTGTATATGGAGTACTGTTGCTCTCTCGCTCGCGCGCTTTGAGCCGCGCCGGAGGACAGAGAGGGAAAGGGAGGGAGCCGAATGGCGAGAGAATGGATGCGGAAGTGGGACGGAGACAGAGGATGACGTCAAATTAGAACTGGGGGGGCTGCGGCGGCGGCCGTTGCCACCGGCCGACTGCTAGAGAGAGTTCTTCTGCTCGGTCCCCTTATTCCCCTCCGACCTGGTTGAGGCGGGAGCCAGCCAGCCTGCCTCGCCCGCCCGGCCTTGGCGTTCGATTGCTTATTGCGAGCGTCACTGAGGACCCTGCCGGCGCTGCCCTAATTATGTGGCCATCACTCTCACAAGAAAGGTGTATATACTTTGTTCAAATCAACGCATAAATGTGCGCATACAATTTGATTGCTTAAATTCGTACAAATAAAACATACAATTCCATAGTTCCAGTGTGAATTCTTACTGGACTTGTATTTCTCTATAAACGTTGTGACGTTTAACAATGTCAGTGGCAGAAACTTTTTCCTCTCTCACTGTTGAGACGAAGATCAGGCTTGTGTATTAGTTACTAAGAAATGTGTCTCGAAGTCTTGACTCTTGGTACTCACCAGTTTATGTATAATTAAAGTTGTTCCCATGTTCATATCAACTTTTAACTTTTAAAGTTGCGCGTTGTGTGAATAATGTGAGATTTGTACATTTGTTATTCGTTCTACTGGCGTTCAGTAGCTCAGGCGCTCAAGCCCCTGTGAGGTAGGCAAGCGGAGGTGCTTGCGAGACACCGGTGCGCAGCATATTGCCTACCTGCTCGGCCGCAGGCGCTAGCCCCCGTGCGGTAGGCAAGCGGAGGCGCGTGCTAGCCACTGGTGCGCAGTGCGTTGCCTACCTACAGGGCGCCCCAGTCTGTAGTTGCCCTCCCAGCCGATGCGGATTGTTATCTGAGAGTCCTGAGCTTGAGCCCGGCCGCCGGACGGACTGAGTTTCGACTCTCAAGGTGCACTCTACGCGCCCCTCCAGATGATCAAACGAAGGTTGCAATAATATTTCAAGTGGGCCCTCTCGCTCAGAGGAGCGCACCAAGGAGTCCGAACGTTTTCTGGAATAAGCGGGCTCGTGTTCGGCGACCCTCTAGCCTCTAGCCCTATGGCATGCTGTCTTATTTTCTGCTCCGAATGACCTGTCTAGAGTTGAGTTTAAGTGTGGAAAGCGGACGCAGGAACGCAGGATAGAGAGAACGAAAGAGAGAGAGAGAGAGAGAGAGAGAGAGAGAGAGAGAGAGAGAGAGAGAGCGCTCGACGGCAGGAAACAAAGACTCTTGGCCTCGTTCTCAAGTCGTTATGAAGATCGCTACGACCAATCTACAACAAAGGGGTGAAATTGAAGAGAAAAACTGGAAAGGGAAAGTCAAGAAAACTCTCAATGGATATCGAAAGTTTAGGACCGGCGCGAAATTCTCTCGACTCTACAAACGATCCGGCGGTTAATTCGCTGGCTTTTGAGGTCGGTGGAGTGCCAGCAGGGGCAGGGGCCTTGCCAAGCCGAGGGTGAACGCCAGGGGAAAAGGGGGGGGAGGGGGTAAGGCTCAAGCCGGCCGACGGATTTTTTTTCGTTTTATTTTTTTTCACCTCATTTTACATCGGCGCTCCTTTCTCCTCTCCTTCTCTCTCTCTCTTTCCAGAGTCAATATCCCAGCGCGTGAATGGCGACACTTCTGGATGAATTTCTCCCTTTCTCTCATTCCTTTCGGGCCGCGAATGTGCGGCCGCGAAAAATTACCAAGTGCGGTGCTGCAAGTGAGAAGAAGATTTTCATTATCTGCGGCGACGGTTCTATTCTCATTTTTTATTTATTTTAGGGTTTTGCCGTCACGCGATTGTTTTCTGTTATTTTCCGGGGAAATTAAAAATCGCTCGTCGCTGCGTGTCTCTCCCTCTCTCTGTCTCACTGGCTTGTAATGGCAGGCGGTTTGGAAAAGCGGGAGGGTGTGAGAGACAGAGAGAGAGAGAGAGAGAGAGAGAGAGAGAGAGGGGGGGAGAGGGAGGTGGCCCTTTGGCGCGGTGGGACTCTGAGCGAGTCTGAGGCCTGCCGGCCGCGCCGGTCCAGCATTCTGTGCGCTTTTGTTGTTTTAACCGGGGTAGCTTGATTGTTGAGCTCGGTTTGCGACAGACAGCCGGGCAGGAGGACGGACGGACGGACACTCGGACGGACATTTTCTGGTAAACCCGCAGCACATACCAACCACCTCTGTGTCGCCCCGGGGGCGCCTTTCTGCCAAAAACGTCACTCAAAAATACGCGCGCCCAAAAGCGCGGCTGGAATGCTCGCTGTTGTGCTGCGGCGCCCATCGGCCAACTGAATGCCGGCCGTATGTAACGGGCGGGGCGGGGCGGGG